CTTCAGCTACTCCGTGTGCCATTGCACGGTACTCAGCTTCAGCACTGGATCTAGCTACCACGGTTTGCTTCTTACTCCTCCAAGTAACAAGGTTCCCTCCTACAAAGGTGCAGTAACCACTAGTAGACCTTCTGTCACTTTGAGGTCCAGCCCAATCCGCATCTGTGTAAATTTCAACTCTCAAATGTCCATGTTTCTGGAATAATAAGCYAGCACCCARGAACTTCTTAAGATACCGCAGTATTCTCTCTGCTGCTTCAAGATGAGTGGACCTAGGTGCATGCATGAACTGGCTGAGGACACCAACAGCATATGCTATGTCTGGACGAGTCATAGAGAGGTACAACAATYTCCYTACAAGCYTCTGAAATTGCTTCACATCCTTAAGAGGTTCACCTTGGTTGTCACTTAACTTATGGTTGGGGTCAATGGGAGAGTCAACTGGTTTAGCCCCAATCTTTCCAGTGTCCTTAAGCAAATCTAGGACATATTTCCTTTGGGAGATGAAGATACCATTTTCTGATCGGGCAACCTCAATTCCAAGGAAGTATTTGGCGGGTCCTAGATCTTTCACTTCGAACTGAGTGGCAAGGAAGTCTTTCAAACTTTGAATTTCATCCTTCCAATCACCAGTAACAATTATGTCATCCACATATACTATTAGGGCAGCCATTTTACCTTCTACTCTTTTTATAAACAGTGTGTGATCTGACTGACATTGCTTGTATCCTCTCTGTTGAACTGCAGTATGAAATCTGCTGAACCAAGCTCTTGGTGATTGCTTCAGTCCATATAAAAACTTATTCAACTTGCACACCTTTTGTTCACTTCCTTGAGCCAAAAAACCGGGGGGTTAAACCATATAAACTTCCTCTTCAAGGTCACCATTCAAGAAGGCATTCTTGATGTCAAGCTGATGTAGATCCCAATTCAGATTGGCAGCAAGAGAAAAAATGACTCTAATATAGTTCATTTTGGCAACAGGGGCAAAGGTTTCTGCATAATCAACCCCATATACTTGAGTAAAACCCTTTGCCACTAAACGAGCTTTATACCTCTCCACGGTTCCATCAACCCCATGCTTAATAGTGAACACCCATTTACATCCAACTGGATCATTTCCCTTAGAGAGATCAACAAGTTCCCACGTGCCATTCTTATGAAGAGCATCAATTTCTTCCTTTATAGCCTTCGTCCATTCTAGTACTGAGAGAGCTTCTGCCACATTCGTGGGAATAGGGATACTGTCAATGGAGGTAAGAAAAACACGAAATGAATGTGAGATGTTCTCATAGGAAACAAAGTTGGAAATTGGGTGTTTAGTGGTGCACGACCTAACACATTTCCTATGGGCAATGGGAAGGTCAAGATCATTAGCAATAGGGAGGTTGGGAGTTAAGTTACTTGAGTAAGTATGATCTTCCCCCAAGGAATTTGATGGCATTTCAGGTATGGCTTCTGGATTCTCCACAACTCTTGAACCTGGTTGGCCTTTACAACGACGAGAAAAAACACGGAAAGGTGGAGAATCAGAAGAAGAAGGGGGAGAAGGAGGAGTAGGAAAAGGAGGAAGTTGAACCAGTTTCTCCTCATGCCTACACTCCCCCTGAGGAGAAACAGGAAAGAAGGGCTCATCCTCAAAGAAGGTAACATCCATGGAGACATAGAATTTCCGAGAAACGTGATCAAAGCAACGATACCCTTTTTGAGAGAATGAGTAGCCAATAAATATGCACGGGATAGCGAAAGAGTCCAATTTCCCCCGGGTGGGAGATAGGTTTTGGACAAAGCACCGACAACCAAAAACACAATGAGGAATAGAAAGAAGAGGGGCCTTAGGAAAGAGAAGCTGATGTGGGGCTTTGTACTCTAACCAACGAGAGGGCATTCGGTTAATGAGGTATGTAGAACAAAAGACTGCCTCAAGCCAAAATCGTTTGGGAACATTCATGTGGAGTAGTAAACCCCGTGCTACTTCAAGAAGGTGTCGGTTCTTCCGTTCAGCCACACCATTTTGTTGTGGCGTGCGGGCACAAGAGCTCCGGTGAAGTGAGCCATGTGAAGCAAAAAACTCCGTGAGATCACTATGAAAAAATTCTTTTGCATTGTCTGATTGAAATATTTGGATTTCGGTCTGAAATTAGGTGAAGACCATCCGCTGAAAATCTTGGATAATTTTTTGTACTTCCTCACGGGTTCGCATTGGATATACCCAAGTGTATCTGGAATAATCGTCAATGAAGGTAATGAAGTACTTGTAGCCACTCTCA